TTAGGGATTCAATCAGGAGAGAAAGTTTGTTTTCTTATCCCTACCATTTCTTCTCACCTCTTAAACCTACTTAAACCAAACTGCAGTATGTGTAACAAAATCATGGCTTACCTGCCATGCTACTTCTGTTGGTGTCAAAACGGTTAAAAGATATTTTGATCAGGAACACAAAGATTGTTCTTTGGTTTTGTAGCGTGGTCAGCGTGGTGGAGAAGCTGCCCCTGGGAGGGCCCATGTATGAAATCATATTCTCTGCAGTCAAGCGGGACATATGGAATCCAGGCATTATCCTAAGCTTTAATGAAAGCTTGCACGGCTTGTGCAAGGAAATCCCTCAAGGGCTTCCACTGTGCTCTGATGTGTAAAACACAAGTAACAATCACAGGCAGTATGACAAGCTGATTTGGAGGTGGTTCTGTGCCATCCTGGCCTCCTGTGCAAAAAACTGGCTGTTCTCTGTACTGGTGGGGCTGGCAGCATAGCTCAGACCAGCACGGGTCTGTCCGAGCGAGGCTGGCTCTGTGTGTGCTCTCTCTTGTCCTGCAGAGACTGTCAGGGCTCTCTTATTTAAGGCCAGCCTGAACTGGCATATCCTACCTGGAATTAAAATAAATGAATTAAATAATTTTTTAAAATCTCTGCCTCCTTGTTTCCATGTCACCACCTGTGTGGAGCAGGTAGGTAATTGGTGACAGTACAGCTACAGAGTCAGCTAGCCAACGAGCAAGTGAAGACCTTCGTGGCCACACTGCCCCTGTCCCCCACATTGATAATGTTTTGCCACTGCCCTAGTTGGTGTAGCTGCTTTCTTGGCTTCCACTTCGCATCCAGTGTAGTTAAGTCCTTCTACAGACTGCTCTGTACAGCTTCTTTTGTGCCACTTGCTATGGAAGTGAGTGATCTGTGAGGCCAGGGAACCATAGATGCTTGTTGTTCTTTACCTTTCCCAAAGTCTATTTTTTGTTAATTCATCTGTGAGATTCTTAGGAAATAGATTACCTACTCTATCTTCCTAGAAACCATCTCCTGCACTTTGGATCCACCAGGATTTGGCATGCTGGTACTTGTCCTGGGTGGTACCCGGAGTCTTTCACAGTTTTTTCATGTGCTCTTCAGACTTGGTGGAAGTCAAACATGCTATCTACCAGCAAAGTAGTCCATTTGTTGCTTACTGTCCTGATATAGGGAATTGTTTAAGACTTGGGGTATAAAATGTGATATTTGGGCAAAAGTCAATTTTCCTGTAACTTTGTCCACAGGGCAAATGAGACTATAGGTGATGCTCAGTCACTGTATCAGAAACTAGTCCTCCCTCCACACATACGTATGAAAAAGTGAATCTTTACCAGAAAACTGAAAGTCTTGTTGCAAATAGCAATTTGAGCTTTAAATGAGCATTTAATGTATTTAGGGCTACCTCAAATAAGATTTCTTTCTGGAACACTGTAGAAGCAATCTAATGGGAAACCCCCTCTCCAGCAGGATCTACAGCCTTATTTGATGGTCCTCAGGAAATTGTCCTTTCTCTTTCAGGTCCTACCTAGCCATCATGGGCTCAGATTAAAGGCATGGAGCCTTCTGCTCCATAGGGTCCCTGTCTCCTCCCCACTCATCTGGAGGACAGAAGGATAAAGTCCTCTCCCACTGATTCAGGAATGCAGCCCTGATGTTCCTGAATGAGAACAGTTGCGTGTGAAGTGTTGCTGGGGGTCTGCTTCCTCACCTGCAGCAGCTGAGCTCTGTGCAACTCACTGTGATGTGTGGAAATAAGTTCCACTGTTTATTTACAAATCACTTAGATGTCTACATTGCACGTCAGCTTCTAAACAATCCTGAGTCTAACAGTGGTTCTAAGCACGGTGCCAGTGACCAGGCACTGGCCTTGGCAGCTGTCTGCATGCTAGCCCACCCAGAGTTGGGAGTGCAGACAGGTGTATTTGGTACCAGGGAGGAAAGGGGATAATGGCAATGTCGCAGTTATATCTGGATTGCTCAGGTGAGCTTTCAGCCTGTCAAAGAGAAAGTCCTGTCTTACTAGTCAAGACAGGTGTCTCAGAGGATGCTGAGGGCCTCATCCCTGCTGTCTGCTTCCGTTCTTCGCATGTGTTGCTCTTGTTCCCATCTGCCAAGGAGGCACCTGGGGAGGGCTGCCAGCTGCCTGCTCAGGTGGTACCAAACAGCTCCAGTCACAAGCTCCTCCTGCATCTTAACTGAACGTGCCACACCACCTAAGAGGTGGATGGACAGACCTGCTCTAGGAGAGGCCTGGTTCTTGTTCATGTGGCATGAAGCAATTTCAAAATGAAAAATTTCACTACTGATCCCAGGACTAGGTTAAGAATAAGAAATTATGTCAACATCAGCACCTTTTCTACTCAACTAATCCAACTCACTCTTCCATCTCCCAAGGGGAATTTAGAGACTTTTCCTCTTGCTATATGGTGTCTTACATAAAGGAGGTTTTGTTTAACAATTGCTAAAGAATAGGTCAGACACGCAGGTATTTTGTACTTGTAGTCCATCAAGCAGCTAACCAGCGTACTCCATCTAAGAACAGCAAATCCACAGGGAATATGCAGGCAAGGGAGTCAGCAACAGTGAAACCATTGTCCAGAGTATAGGAAGGGATAAATTTATAAGGTGTCCAACATGGCTTTGCTGTTGAATAATGAGACTGAATGTCAACCTGTGTGCATTAGAAGCTGGAGCAAAAAATAACCTGCTTGTGTTACTGTGTTGCCTGTGTTCTGCCCTTATCCTTGGCTCTATTGGTGGCTGTACCTAGCCTTTAAGTGTGTAGAGGCCCTTGCAACAGATGAAAGTTGCCTTCAGCACGTATCTGTGCTGTTGGTGTTCTGCTTGATGGTGCTACTGCCCAAAGTGGGGGATGAAAGATGAAATACAAGTGGCCCAACTTTTCCAGAAAGTTCTCTAACTTATGCTGGATGGCTGCTGAGCTGCAGGGAGTGCAGGTGGGAATGTGAGATCTTCAAACACTTGTTACTCTCTACAGTTTCTTTTTTGTGTGTCTACTAATGCAGTCTTTGTGTGCATCTTTCACATGCTGGCTGATCCCTGTTATAAATTCCATTCTGTAAAGTCTGTTGCTGAAACAAATATGGCATTTTCTCTGATTGTTTGTAGGTCATGACAAAGACAGTCTGGCTGCAAAACTGCTGTAATGTACAGCAGAGCCTTTCTAGAAAGCCTTCGCTTAGCCCAGGGAACAAGCTTCCCTGTATCTACAGGAATTGCCCTTTGAGAGTAGCTGACCGTAGTCAGAGATAGATAGTAAAGGTATTAATAGTTCATAATTAATAAATTAGAAAAGTGTCTGCTGATAAGCAGGAAAGGTATTATCTTAAAATATACTATCAAGGATGGAGGGTGTAATCTTGGAAATACTCTTCCTCAGGTGATATGTTAAAGAAAGTTGCCATTTTGTGTTATATGGCAGGAATGGTAAAATGAAAAAAAAAGCCTTATGCTTTTTCCCTCAAGTTTTAAGAAACTACAGGAAACAGACTTGGAAATCACCAGACCTGAAAGATAACATTGGCCCTGTCCTAGTGTAACCGTTCCCTTTTCAGGTCAAAGAGAAGCCTTTTAGAAATGTGTGACTGCAATCTCATCACCAGTACTTCCTTTAAGGATGATTAAGGTCACTACAGTTAGAGGGAAATGATCTTGGAGTGACCTATGTGGAGTGGAGGAGCATAAAGGATGCAGTGATTCCAGCATAGGCCCTGTGGAGCAGCAAATTAATGGACAGCATATCACACACTAGCAAAGGCTTTTTCACTGAATATGGTAGTATAACCATGACCACCCCCTCCCAATAGTTTTGTTTTTTTTTTTACCAGGGCAGCTAAAGATTGGAGTGCAGGAAAACTCCGCAAAGCATTGGAGCTTGGTTCTGCCAAGGATGCAGGCAGGAGGGTAAGGAAAGAGCAATGGGAAAGACACTCCGTACAGTCCTTGAGATGCAGTCCTCGAGATGCAGTCCTCCAGTCAGGGCAGGACCTCCTGGGAGCTGCGAACACTAACGTGAGATCCATGCAAGGCACAATGGGAGCCTATGCTATGTACAGGGTGTTGTCCCTGTGCAGGGTATGACAAAACCACTGCTGTTAAGAAACATATAAGCTGGCCTTTCTGGAGAAACTTGAAGTGCTCTGGAAAAGGAGGAGTGTAAGTTAGGGACAGTGCAAAAATCACCAAGGGATTTTCATTGCCACATGTCAAACTCTTTCCCAATTATCTCCCACTGCTGCATTGTCAAATACAGAGCAAATGTCTCATCCAGGCAAATGTTTGCCTCCTCTTTGCAGAGGCAGCAGTTAAGCAAGTGACTTGTGTACAGGTGCAGTGAAGTCTGCATGAGGCAAAGCCCTCCCCAAGTCTGTGAGCTTTGTAGCACGTTCCTGTTGTACACATGTAAAGACATGATACTTGAGCAAAACACTAAGTTGAGTGAAGCGACCAGAGGGTGCAATGAGATATGCTATGCTGTGTTAAGGGGATTTTAACTATGCCGTAGCCATTTTCAGCTACAGGAACTTAAGTAGGGAATTACCCAGAGCCCGTCTAAGTCTCCAGCAGCAGCAGCCAGATGCTTCAGCCTACGGTGAAGAAGACGCAACAGCTAACTGCATCCAGGGTAAGGGTATTTCTGCCTGCTGTTGATGACAGTGTTGGAAACACCCTGCCCATCTACTGGGGGGCTAGCTGGGCTGGATGGGACTTGTACCCAGCAGGCAGCAGGACCGCCCCCAGCCCGACGGGGCCACCGGGGACTCTCCCTCCGTGCCCACCGCCCCACGGAGGGGGGGTGGGGTGGGCACGGAGGGAGAGTCCCCGGTGGCCCTGTCGGGCTGGGGGCGGTTCCCGGTCCCGCCCCCCCGGGTGTGATGCCGGGGCGCAGCGCTTCCCCGGGACCGTATCCGCCGGTGCGGGGTGGGAGAAAGGTTGGTTTCGGCTGGCTCCCAGGGATGCTCGATATGGAACCAATCGTTGACCCGTCGGAGCTGCAGTCGTTGGGGGAGTATGACTTCGAGAAGAACTTCAACGACCGGGAGGCCAGGGAATGGATGCAGGACAATTGGTAAGAGGAGAGGAGGTTGCGGCTCCGGTGCATCCCGGGTAGCCCCGTTGGGTCCTACTGTTTCTAACGGGGTGGGTGTGGGGTCCTCAGCCCCGAGGAGGAGGAGGTTCGGGGGCTTTTGTTGCAGTGATGGTGCAGGTGCTGGCTGCACGCCTGCGGCTCTCTGTTGGGGAAGGGCTGCAGCAGCACATGGAGCAGAGCAAACGGTGGTCGAAGTTGTGCCACAGCGTGTAGGGAGGTTGTGATATGGCAAGAGGGCAAGGAGCAGCTGCAGATGGCCACTGCAGCCTTTGCACCAGCAAACAGGGCGCTCAGCCCTGCCATGCTGCCCTAAAGCCTTGGAAAGGAGTGGGACGTAACACATGGCCTTTGAGCCTCTAGCTTTCTGGTGCAACTGGCCTCTTTAGGCAAAGAGCATCCTCTGCCTGTAGGGTCTCATGTGTAAGTGGATAAAATGCATTGATGTGTTTGCTTGGGATCCTGCTCACAGGTTATCAGATGCCACCCCATCCCATAAGTGTCCCATGGAAATCTCCACAATGTAACAGCTCACTTTCTTTTCTGCAGTCCCCAGGGTTTTCCCTCACCAGCTCTGCTCACTGTCAGGGCAGGCTTCTTGTGACCAAGCCCAACCTTAACACAAGAATGGGAGATATTTTGTTTCTTGGTGAGAGTGCTCTGCTGGGGCTACAGAAGTCCAGTTGGAAATAGGTCAGTCTGGGTCTTTTCCTGACTGCTGCCTCTCCTATACTTGCAGGCACAAGTCTCTATTTCTTGCTGCAGCTTATGTGATCCTGATCTTTGGAATACAGCATTTCATGAAAGGATTGAGAGCCTATAGCCTGCGCCCATCACTGACCCTGTGGTCCCTCAGTCTGGCCTTGCTCAGGTAAGAGCCTTTGCTAAAGATTGAGACAGCTGTAGACCTTCTCTCAGGACTGGATTGATGGGAAGTTCTGGGTATCCACTATGTCATTAGGGAAATAAATGGTTTTTTCCCCTTGGAGGCCCTCTCCCTCAAGGGCAAGTGAGCTGCTCATACAGGTCATTAGTTCTCCACCAGAAATACTCCAGCAAGCCAAATGTGTTGCGGAAGGACTGCTGGGGACTGTGCTTGAAAATCATTAGCGGGTAGATTTGAATGTGAAGTCTGCAAGAGCAGAGATCCTCGTTCAAAAGGTGCCTGACAATTATAAGTTTGATTGGAGGTCTATTACTCTTAAAAATGGAGGTGATATTTTTTTTACCTCCACCTTTTTCTAATCCTGTTGCATTGGATGTGGGGAAAATTCTGGTACACTCACAGAAGCCCCTTTCTTACTGTGAATCTAAAGAAGAGCATTAAAGAAGCTGGAAGGTCCTCTCTGGTCAGTAGCATAAACTGGCTGAACGTATCAAAGTTGCTGACAATCACCAGTCCTTGGGTTGTCTTTCCAGTATACTTTGATACAGGGGAAAAAAGAAAAAAGTATGAGTAGTTGCAATGGTAGGAGAATGATGGTACAAAGACAGGGTTATTTTGCTGCCCATTTTTTAAAGACACCTTTTAAGAACAGCCTGGTACTACTGCCAAGTTCTAGCTCTGATTTCCACCCCCTTCAAGACATGCAAGACGTGAAGATCAATCTAAAATATCTGTTTTCGAACTGTCCAGTCTTATAGTACTGGTTTCCTGCTGTGACCGTGAGAATGATTCAGACCATGCTCTGTAATTAAACAAGCAGGTGTAATTTTTCCAACATTCATCTCCATACCTTTTCAGTCTGTTTGGTGGGAGAGAGAAAAACTAGACTACTGCCTCTGTAATTCCAGAGGAGTGTCTCTGCCTACCCACACAAGTTGACTTTGGTCAAGTCTAAGGGACGCTGCGTGCCCTCTGTGAGGGTAGGGCATGGCAGCGGTCTGTAAAATCACAAGTTGTGGGAGAGGGGGGGTCAGGGGATGACTGTTCACAGTCTGTTTGGAGATGAGCTCATGTGAATGAAACGTATAGGTTGATAACAAAGAAAAAGCTGTAGGAACTGCCTGCCACAGAAGGTTGTAAATGCTCCCTGGGCATGCACTGTTGGCCCCTGTCAGGAGATGGGATACCAGGACGACTGTCCCCCTTTTCAGACCAGACATGGCAGCTCTTACTCTTGAGCGCCTCTTCAAGCAGTGGAAGCAGAGGGTGTAACGAGGGAGCATTGTTCGCTGCTCAGACCTCGGCTGCTGCTGCCATCCTCCAGGAGCTGCTGCATTGGCACCAGGCAAGCCAAAGGGCTGTGTTGGTGGCTCACAACTTACTTACTCCTTGTGCCTTGCTCTTGTTCTGGTGTGAGCAGCAGCCCTTCCCTGCTCTGCCTTGCAGAAATATGTGTGTTTGAAATCCTGGCCAAGAGGTCCTGGGCAAGCCTGTGCCCAGCAAATGGGGGGCTGAAACCTGCTTGGAAGTCTAAGAAGACAACAGTTTGTTTAGATGTCCCCGAGACTGTCCTGGGCATCAAGATGGAGTTAGCTGAATATTCTCAGGTGCTGTCGGAGGCTCTGGTAGGGCCCTGGGCACAGTGTTCAGCTCTCCTCTGTTTTTCTTGCAGTGCCGCTGGGGCCTGTCGGTTCTGGAAACTAATGATCTTCATCCTCTCTACCAAGGGATTTAAGCAATCGGTGTGTAGTCAATCCTTCTACATCCACCCCATCTCCAAGCTTTGGGCCTATATATTTTTGCTGAGCAAACTCCTGGAATTGGGTGAGTCTGAAGCTTCTCCTTATCCCATGTGTTCATAACTCCTTTGCTTTTACAAGCAGGTTTTTTTTTACAGGTCTCTGTCCAAATGTTATTTGGAGAACAGGGCTGTCTAGCCTTGCACGTGTCACTCATTTTCTCGCTCCCTGTCGCTCAACCCAGATGACATGTTCGCTCTCCACAGGGTTGCAGCCTGATGTTATTGCTCTGGTTTGATCCCCAGGCCAGTGCCTGGACTAGGCAATTCTGCACTGCGATAACTGCAGTGAGGGAGCGGTAGGCAGGCAGGGCAGGGCTGGGCTTTCCACCCAGTTTCCATACAAAAAAGTACAGAAGAGCTGGTCTGAAGTGCTGTGTAGGTAGAGCTAGGTAAGCAAGCCTGGGGCAAGGGGTTTTTGTACCACAAACATGCCAGCAGGTAAGTGCCTACATGGGCATTATCGATACAGACAATTCCAATGGGAACCTAGGTTTTGGTGGGATCAAGCCACATAATGGGTTCAGCACTGCAGCTCGCTCATTCTGCCTCACAGGAAAACTTACGCAACTGCTGTGCTTCTACCTGACTAACAATGCATGTCTCCCCCAACACAAGGTGACACCGTGTTCATTGTTCTCCGGAAAAAGAAGCTCATCTTCCTCCACTGGTACCACCACACCACCGCGCTGATCATCACCTGGTACGCCTATAATGATATGGTAGCTGGCGGCGGCTGGCTTGGAGTCTTGAACTACAGTGTCCATGCTATCATGTACTCCTACTATGCCGTGCGAGCTGCAGGCTTCCAGCTACCCCGCCTCATCGCCATAACAATCACCCTTATACAGATGCTGCAGATGCTGACATATGCAGTAATTAACATCTTTATCTTCTACTGGAAGGAGGATAAGGTCTGCCACACCACCTGGACAATGCTTTTCCTTTCATTCATTATGTATACCAGTCTCCTGATTCTGTTCTGCAACTTCTTTTTCAAGACTTATCTGAGGAACACCCCGAAATCAAAGGGGGAATAAAACCAGGGATGGAAGAAGAGACAGGGGTGGAGGGGGGGAGAGGGAAAGGGGAAACTTTTTACTCTTGTCTGGAGCTCAGGTGCCTGATGGGATGGGTGTGATGGGGGTTAAGAGGAGGTCACTCTGGATAACAGCCTTCAGATGAACTTGCGCATTGGCCTTTGGTGTGTCTGCCTTGCAGTGGGTGGCATGCCAGAGTGAGGTGTGGGTTGTCGCAGGCTGACAGCAGGAGGAGAGGGCAGGTGGCTGGGGGCTGGAGGCCTCAGAGCCGTGGTTCTGCTTTTTCCTCTTCTCTGCATCACTCAGGTTTGCCTTGTGCCTCGCCTCCTTCCCAGGGACTGCTTAGATCAAGTCTCTCCTTGGGAAAAAGTAGGGAAACCCCTCTCAAAACAGCACTGCCCACTCCATGGTCCCCAGTTCCGGAGGTGAGCAAGAGAGCAGAGCCCAAACCTGCTGCTACTCTGTGTGCTGGGCAGCCCCAGTAGGTTGCTGGTGGGAAAAGCACTGAACTGGAAAATCCCTGCTGGTTTTTTTAAGGTTGTGTAGGGAGGGGAAAGAGCAATGTCTTTTTCATCCTGGAACCAAACTTGTAAGGCTCCTTCAGAGCTGCTCTTCCCCTTCAAAACGGCAGCTTCTTCTAGCCAATATGATGCTGCCTAGTTTTAGGCTCACATGGCTAACACAGGGAGAGGAGGGACCATTCCCTACCTCATCCGATTCCCCTCTCCGTTCTGTCCTGGGCCATGATGAGGATCCCACTCTGCCGGTACTAGGAGGGCAGGATGTGGGCCAAGGCACTCACCTGTCCTGGGACCAACCTCATCACACATTTGTACCATGGCCTTGCACAAGTCCTTCCATCTCTGTGCCTCAGCTTCTCCTCTTACATTGGAGTAGCGCTGACTGCTTTGTACCAATCTGTGGGGACAGGGGCTGCTTAAAGAGCATTTTGTGGCCCCATGCCGCACATGGGGCAGTGAGTGCACATTTAGCACTCAGGCAAAGCCTGAGCTGGCTGCATATCCTTTTTCCACCCAGGCCAGAGGGGTGACACCTTCCCCCTTGTGTCATCTTCCAACCCCAAAAGCAACCTGTGTCCTCAAACAGGGAAGCAGAGCATGCGAGTCTCAAGCTTGTTGGCTAGCAGATGAAACCCTGTTGGGATGCTTCCCCAGTTCACACCAATTTGGGCTTTACCAGTGTAGCAGTGATGTTGACCCCCAGTTCCTGCCCCTCCCTCAGTTTCTTTCCCCTGGGGCTGGGTTAAGTAAGTGCTGTCCCCACTGGCATCTGCTTGGGCTGAGCTGGTAGCAGGAGGCTGACAGGATCCTTGGGGGGGGCTTGTGACCCATAGCCCAAGGAGGGGCTCAGTGGGGCCCGTCCCAAATGCCACACACTCCCTGGAGCTCCCCAGGAGGGCCCTGGGTGAGGCGATGAGCTGTGGTGCCTCCTGCAGCCAAATCCCAGGCACTGCTCATAGGAGCACAAAACATACAGCTGGAAAAGCAACACCAAGACTGTGAAAGGTGCCCAAGCAATGACCTGACTAATGTCTTACCTAATCTGCTGTAAATGCTGAACTGGCAGACACAGGTTTAAATGTTACTTCCCGTACTGGTGATCCAGCTGAAAGGAGCTTCTGGGCAATGGGCTTATCCAGTGAGATGTGAGGGTCCCTGCCCGGGCTCTCCCTACTCTTCTGCAGTGCAGGGAACTGAATCCTATGAACTTTAATGGCTGTTGTCCTGAGTGTGCCCCTTGTATGATATTAAACAATCTATTGAACCTGACAGCCTCAGACCCTGGGAGCTGAGCAGGGCCCAGCTCTGCTCTGCACAGTGTGTGAGACATTGCCTACATTGCCAGCCCAAGGCCAGCCCCACGAGCTGGGGGCAGAAGGCTCTTTAGAGCCAGCTCCTTCCAGGGTGCATCTGCCACTGTGTGATGTGTAAAAATTACTAATAAATGCTGTCATGTATGGATTGATTTGTTTGATGCCTTTTTCATACCTGACCTTTGTTCTGAACTGTGAGAGAAGTGTTGCTTTCTCCGTCTCAATCCTGTGTCTTCCTGAGGGTTAGCAACAGCAAGGTGTCTGGCAGGCTCTGTTGCTCTGTGCTTCCCCCTTCCACAGTCATCAACAGCTGGTCCTGCTGCCCAAGCCCCTTTGCTCACCACCAGGGAACTAGAAATGAGAGGGAGATGATTTTAAAAATCAGGCTTTTGTTTTACCATCTGAACTGAGCATGTGGCTGCTCAAAGGCACTGTGCTTGATAAAGCCAAAACACCCTGGTGCCTGAGCCTGGCCTGGAGCATCCCAGTGTTCGAGCCTCTGGGTGGATGGGATTTGGCCCTTGGGGCAGTGGGCTGGAAAACTACCGCAGGCCTGCGGACTGTGCTTCCCACCCTGGGAGATGGCAGCAGCCTGTGCCCTGCCCAGCCTCCCCTGATGAGCACGGCCCCTGCTCTGGACTTCCCAGCATGGTGGGTAGGAGCAGAGCAGCACCTTCCCTGGCTTCAGGAAACACAGAAGCAGGCAGCTGAGGTGATGGTATTTGGGGAAGAGGAATAAACTGGCCTCCATGCTTGGGAGCTCTCTTTAGAGAGGAGGGGATTGTGAACATGTGGGAGTAATGGGGTGACCTCTTTCCTGCAGGGCGCTATTTGGGGCACTTTCTGTGACAGCCGTGGTCCCAGTGAGGCAGCAGCTAGCTCTCCGCCCTCCTCGCACGTGCCTACAGCTGCCCCAGCAGCACTCCCTCAGCTGCACCAGGCATCCCTACAAGCGCAAGAGCACTGAAGAAGTGGTGTGTTTCCACAGTTGCTCTTTTCCATCTAAACTGCCTGACGTGCTCTTGGTGCTTCAGAGGTGATGCTCTGTGGGATGAGGTCAGCTGCCCAATCACTGCCTCACTCAGTGGTGCAGAGCAGGGCACTGGAGGCAGGGCTCTGGATCTCCAGACGGCTTCACCTCTGAAGAGCTCTTTGCTGCTGGTCCATCCATGCAGGCTTCTGAGGTAGGAAGTATCTTTGATGGGGCAGGAATCACCCCAGCAGAAGGAGGGTTTGCTTAGAGTGTCTTGTAGGGACCCTTTCTCCCCCTCCGAGAGGCATTGCAGCTTTTTAAACAGCTGCATCCCTCCTCCCAGAATGAGGGTACCCCCTCTTTCCAATGCTGTCAGGAGGGCTTGCCTTACCCCGCCTGCCCTATGCCCACCCCAGGGAATGCATGCCATGGGACCCACATCAGCACCTTCACATTGCCATTCTCCCTGGCTAAACAGGAAATAACAATAAATTGCCCAGACCTAGGCAGGGGAAGACTTTGATTTTTCCTGTGTTTTATATTGCTGCTGCTGCTGCTGCTGTTTGGCAAGTTGTCTGGAGTGCTGAGCTGTGGGTGTGAGGAATGCAGTGGTGTTTGCTGGGACTCAGGGAGCTAATAATGGTGTCCCCCCTTCCCCAGGCCAGTGCTATTTCCCTGAAGCTTTGTGGAAATGACTCCTCCTGGTACTCTGTGAAGAAAAGTCCTTCTGTGTTGCTGGGGAGCTGAAATAGCCAACAGACCAGTTTCGGAGAGGACGTCTCTTGAGTTTTTGTCTATTTTAGCTCTTTTTTACTTTGAGGGCACGGACAGTAATTAATTGCCTCTCTCATGTGGGAGCCATTGCTCAGGGGGAACCGCGGTCCCTGCTGAAGGCGCCTTTGGTGACCCCTGGGCAGCCGGAGCAGCTTGGCTTAGGGGTGGCCGGAGGGATGCGGGGAGGATGCGGGGTGCAGGGAACCAGGCAGGGGACGTGCTGCAGAGAGGAAGCCTTGAAGGGCAGGAGCAGACAGAGCCCCGGGCTGCAAGAGGCGGCGAAGCGGGGCTGGAGAGCCGGCGGGGACCGGCAGAGGCGAAGGGTTTTGCCGGAGGCTTTTCCCGTCCTCCGGGCGCGGGCTCCAGGAGCGCGGCACCCTCCCATCCCCGCGCTGCCCGGGGGCTGCCGCCGGCGG